ACTCGGAGAAAGTTAATGATGATGATCATGATTAATCGGATGATGATGATGATGATGACTGCGATGATGATGTTGATGATGACTCGGAAAATGACTCGGATGATGATGACTCGGATGATTATGACTCTGATGATGATGACTCGGACGATGATTATGAACATGATGACTCGGATCATGATGATGATGATGATGACTCAGGTGATCACTCGGATGAAGATGACTCGGATGATGATGTCTCGGATGATCATGCCTAGGATAACGACGATGATGGTGACTCGGATCATGATGAGAAAGATGTTTGACTGGGATGATGATAATGATGACGATGACTCGGATGATGATGAATCGGAAAATGATGACGATGATGATGACTGGGATGATGATGATGATGACTCGCAAGACGACGACTCGTGTGATGATGATGATGATGATGTTGATGACTCGAATGATTGTGATTGTGATGATGACTCGTATGATGATGCTGATGATGCTGATGATGATGATGATGATGACCCGGATTATGATGATCACGATGATGATGATGACACGGATGATGATGATGATGGCTCGGATGATGATGATGATGACTAGGAATGGCTCGGATGATGATGATGATGACTAGGATGGTGATGACTCGAATGATGATGACTCGGATGATGACTCGGATGATGACTGGGATGATGATGACGATGATGACTCGGCAGATGCTGATGGTGATGATGATGATGACTCGGATGATGATGACGATGATGACTCGGATGATGTTGGTGATGATGTTGATGACACGGATGATGGTGATGACTCGGATGATGATGACTCGGATAATGATGACTCAGATGATGATGATGATGATGACCGGGATGATGATGACGATGATGATAATGACTCATCATCATCCGAGTAATCCACATCCGAATCGTCGTCACCATCATCGTCATCGCAGTCATGACAATCATCATCATCATCATCATCCCGGTCATCATCATCAGCATCACCATACTAGTCATCATCACAATCACCATCATTCGAGTCAACATCATCATCATCATCATCATCCGAGCCATCATCATCGTCATCTTCATTATCATCACCATCATCATCATAATCACCATCGTCCGAGTCATCATCATGAACATCATCATCATCATCATCGCAGTCATCATCTACATCATCAACATCATCATCATCGTCCCAGTCATCATCAACCGACTCATTATCATCCGAGTAAACCACATCGCAGTCGTCATAATCATCGCCATCAACGCAGTCCTCATCATCATCATCATGAACATCATCATCATCATGAACATCATCATCATCATCATCGCAGTCATCATCATCATCATCATCATCATCATCATCACACGAGTCATCGTCAAGCGAGTCATCGTCAAGCGAGTCAACATCATCATCATCCCAGTCATCATCATGGTCATCATGATCCTATTCATCATCAGCATCATCATCTGAGTCATCATTATCCGAGTCATCATCATCCGAGTCATCACCATCCTTCGAGTCATCATCATCCAAGCCATCATCATCATCATCATCGTCGTCATCATCCTAGTCATCGTCATTATAATCATTATCCGAGTCATCGTCCTCCGAGTCACCATCATCATCATCATCTTCATTATCCGTGTCACCATCATCATCACCATCATCGTCATCATCCGATTCATCATCATCATCATCATCAGCGTGCGAATCATCATCATCATCATCATCATCATCATCCCTGTCATCATCATCATCATCATCATCATCATCATCATCATCATCATCATCATCTTCCGAGTCGTCATCCGAGTCATCATCGTCCAAATTATGATCAACATCCTCCGAGTCATCATCATCCGAGTCATCATCATCCGAATCATCATCATCATACTCATCATCATATACCGAGTCATCATCATCATCATCCAAATCATCATCACCATCCTCCGAAACGTCATCGTCTTCATCAGCCGACTGATCATCATCCGAGTCATCATCATCATCATCATCATCATCCTCCGAGTCATGATCATTATAATCATTATCCGAGTCATCATCCTCCGAGTCACCATCATCATCATCATCTTCATCCCGGTCACATTCATCCTCATCATGATCCGAGTCACCATCATCATCATCATCCCATTCAACATCATCCGTGTCATCATCATTCGAGTCACCTTCATCCGAGTCATCATCCGACTCATCAACATGATGATCATCCGAGTCATCTTCATCTCCCGAGTCATGATCATCCGAGTCATCTACATCCGAGGCTTCATCATTATCAACATCGTCACACGAGTCATTGTCATGCGAGTCAGCATCATCGTCATCATCATAATCATCCCAGTCATCATCATCGTCATCATGATCCTGGTCATCATCATCATCATCATCCGAGTCATCATTATCCGAGTCATCATCATCCGAGTCATCATCATCATTCGAGTCATCATCATCCAAGTCATCATCATCATCATCATCATCGTCATCATCCGTGTCATCATCATCATCATCATCATCATCCGAGTCATCATCATCATCATCATCGGACTCATCATCATCCGAGTAATCTACATCCGAGTCTTCATCGTCATCATAATTATCAACCCAGTCATCGTCATCATCATCATCCCGGTCATCTTCACCATGATCATCATCATCATCATCTTCATCATCATCATTATCACCCGAGTCATCGTCATGCCAGTCATCATCATCTCCATCATCATGATCCGAGACATAATCAACATCATCATCCCAGTAATCAACATTATCATCAGCAACATCCTCCGAATCATCAAAATCATCATCATCAACGTCTCAGTCAACATCCTATCAGCCATCATCTTCATCGTCATTATGATCCGAGTCATCATTATCATCATACTTCGAGTCATCATAATCCGAGTCATCATCATCATCATCATCATCATCATCATCATCATCATCCGAGTCATCATCATCTGTGTCATCATCATCCGAGTCATCGTCATCAAAATCATCATCATCAACCCAGTCATCATCATCATCATCATCATCATCATCATCATCATCCGAGTCGTCATCCGAGTCACCATCATCATGATCATGATCATCATCCGAGTCATCATCGTCATCATCATACGAGTCATCATCATCAAATTCATCATCATCATCATCTTCATCATCATCATCATCATCATCAACCGGGTCATCATCAACATCATCATCATCCCAGTCAACATCATCATCTTCATCATCTCGATCATCATCATCATTATCATCAGCATCAACATCATCATCATCATCATCAGGTTCACCATCATCATCATTTTTATTATCTTCGTCATTTTCATCATCTTCATCATCATCCGACTCATCATCAGCCGTGTAATCTATATCCGAGTCATCATCATCATCATCATCGTCATCATCCCAGTCATCATCCCCATGATCATCATTCCGGTCTTCATCATCAGCATGATCACCATCCTCCGACTGATCAGCATCATCATCATCATCATCCCAGTCATCGTCATACGAGTCATCTTCATCCGAGACTTCATCCGAGTCATCATCATCATCATCAGCATCATCATCATCATCATCCCAGTCATCATCATCCCAGTCATCCTCATACGAGTCAACATCATCCGAGTCATC